ACAACATCTCTTTTGGCTAACATTTAGAGCTTTCTCTGAGCAACACCTAAATGATACTAACATGTTGCAGTTCAGCTGCATGGAGGGTCATTGTGTTTTCAGTTTTAACTTCTGCTGCTAAAATGACAGGCTTTTACTCTGCTGCTTGCAACGTGAACTGCCTTTCTGCTCACTCTTATTAGTCTAAAAACCTATTTCAGGTGCTATCTTTACAACAGTAAGTGACTTAAAGGCAAAACTTATTCAAGAAAACTGGATAGGGGTAGATGTTTATGATTTTTTTCCCTTTATTTCCTGCTTGCCAGATGCCCAAGAGTAAGTACATAGCATTAGATTCCACAGAACACCACTAAAGAACAAATTTAAGTATCCAAGAAATATACTTAAACAATAGTACTCGAGTGAGAGAGAGAGAAAGGAAAGAATGCTTAAGTGGAAGAGGTAGCTGCTGGTCAGGTTTCTCAGAATAGAAATAAGGACTCCAATGTTCTTTCTACCAAACAAAAACATCATCTGCTAAAAACAGAAAAGAAAAAACAGGTCTGTTTCTTTTTGATATTAGTTTTGGCTCCCTGCCCAATACTACCAGAACCCACAAGAAAAATATTTACTGTTGCAGGAGTCTCCCACTTGTCCTGAAAAATACTAAAGTATATTACAAAAGTTAAAACAAGCAAACCAGAAAAAATATAGAAGATGGGTTAAACTACGTTGGTACTGGTACAGATCATTAACTGCCCTGAAGTATATACTGGGCACAACTGTGAAGAAAGAGCTACAGGAAGCAATGTTGTGCATTTCCAGGCTTCTTCCTGCTTCAACCACACATAAAGCTTTGCATAGGATATAGGCCCCAGAATGAATGCCAAGAGTTCAGCATCTTCCTAAAACTTCAACAACATCCTTCCTCTTCTCACATATCTCTGAAGAGCCAGACTGCTCCAGGAGGAATGTCCTTCAACTGTGCTAATGAAACATTTAATATTTCCTTTTGAATAACAGTTTGTCTATGAAGGTACTAATTTCTCAACTTCTTAAGACTTCTAGCTCAGGTTACTACAATCTCAATCTGGAATGAGATCACATGGATGAGAAGTCACTAAAGAATATCTATTGCACTTGCTCACCAAGTTATAATCATGTAAAAAATTAAAACACTTCAGGTAATTATTTCCATAGAAATGCTGCCTATACCCATACAAAAGCTAAGCAGCAGCACTATTTGAAAGAGTCACTCCTTTCAAATCAAAAGAAGTTCCAGAAGTTTGCAGCACAGAAGCTTAGTGTTGAACAGAGCTGTATAAAGTCATGCATCTGAATTACCAGTGCAGCAGCCAGTGCTGGCCCAGTGACCAGCTAGCTTCTTAGGGTGAGGTTTCCCAACAGAGCCAAGCCAGCTCACCACCAAGAGAAGGTCCTGTACTACCTCCTCATCCCCCACTTCCCCTATCCTAGCCTTGTTCCTTTCCACACCCCCATTCCTTCCCACCACCAGCTCACAGGCACAAAACCTCTTACTTTTGCGTCTGCTCCCAGCCTCTTTCAGGCCCCCAAAATTGCTAACGCAATTAGAAAAAAAAAATTGAGGTGTTTTTTTTTGTTTTGTTTGTTTGTTTGTTTTTCTTTCTTTCTTGTCAGGGTAGCTTTCTAACATTTAGGAAGTGACATTTGCTTATCATGAGGCCACATGCCTAGAACAAGCTCAAGATAAGCCACCACAGCGTGCAGCTAAGAGAAAGGAAGAGAGGGCACAAGGTCATCTCCCTTCAGCAGCAACAAGCTGTTCACAGGACTCAGACTAGACAAATTCAGTTTACAACAATCCAAGTCAATACTGCCATGCTCCCACCTTTCTTCCCATCCTACTTGTTTGTGTCTTTTATTTGCACAAGGGCTGTAAACTACTGGGTCTTAAAACAAGCCAGCTCAAGGAGAGCTAAATTAGCAAGAAACTCATTAAACTGACTTAAATATCATAGCAGTGAAGCCTCATATTATGTTTTAATCCAGCAACTCTAGTACTTTGGAACATTCATGTCTGACAAGGATAAACAACATCAATTCTTCTGTATTCAAAAGATCTAAATCGCAAAGTGACATTCCCTGCTCTTGTTAACGAATAATTGGTTCTGAATAATTGGCTCATGGTCACAAATTCTAGCAATTCTCCCAAATGAAAACCCCCTTGGACACACACCAATGCTACATACAGGCTTTTTGTCACATGTGTAATAAAACAGTACAATTAGAGATACATTCATTTTGAGCATTGTGCAATTTTATTTTACCTTTTTGGATCAAAAGCTTCTCCACCTCTGGAACCTCCTCCAGGTGTTCTCCATGCCAGCCGTTCAATGTATTCATCTGCCACAAAGGGCTCCTAGCCACAGAATAAAAACTCCTTACAATGTGCCACAGCAGGTTGTTCCTTAAGCAGCTGCTTACACATCATTTTGAAAGTGTTTAGAAGCTTTGCTACAATCAAGAGCAAGTACAGCATTGACAATTACCCTGTCACCTCTCGTGTTTACATATTTAATACAGAGAACACTGCTTTTAATATGGTGGGTTCGAACATCTTGTCTAGAGACTGCCAGGCTGCTGGCAAAGAATTTGCTGCAGGGCTGTGAAGGGTTGGCTCTATATTATTTGCCCTCATTTCCAGGTGAACTTATGGCTTGTCATTACAAAGTGTCTGCAGCAGCTGCCCGGAGTTGAGATACCACATCACAAGACGTCTTCTGAAGGCAGAGACATTACGAAACCAAGACTTCCTCTTCTAGTTGGCCTAATGCTTAAAGCAGCTCAAACATTTCTTCACATAATTAATATTAAAGACTCAAAACACAGTGCAACACCTATCTTTAAGAAAAATCTAGTATTTATCACTTCAGCTTCACTGGTAATCTGGCAGCATTGTTCAGGGGCTAACATAAGCTCATCTAAGACCAGGAAGCCAAGTATTCTCAAAACCACCAGGATTTCATAGAAAACTCTAAAATTACACAAAGCAATGGTTCTAGAACTGTGAAACAAAGCCCAGCACAGAGCTGGGAGTGGCTCTGGTTAGTAGTGGCATCTGCTGCCACAACTTATTTCTGATAATGAAATGTGAACATGCCACCACTGCTTTTGATAAAGCTTTTTTAAAAAAATTAAACTAATAAACATTAAACAGATCTCCACAGGTCCCTGTGTCAATAACTTTAAAGCATTGTCAGAATTAATAAGGAGAGAAAAAGCAGCATTATAGTATTATTTTAATAAAGATAAGCAAGAGTTGAAAAGCAAATACTGCCAGTTCAAGGTTTGTCATGTCCCAAAAACACATTCTGCCCCATCCAGTCAGGCCCAGCTATTAATCAGAAAGAGAAAGGTTTTTAAAATACTCTTTACAACACGCTGGATCCTGCTAGACAGGAGGGAAGTTCCACCCTTTGAACAGATCACTTGGTAGCTCCCCATTCAAAGGCTGAGGAGAGTAACTGTGTTTTGCTCTGCCTCCTTGGTTAAGCTTCAAAAGGAACCAGATGACACCACACAGAAACCACTTCTCTGAAAGTCACTCATCTGTTTAACCCAGTTCTTCCTGATACACAACACCCAGGATTCCTTGATGTGAATCCTTCTCATCAGAAGTTATAATATAGTGTTTTCATACCAAATGTAAATTCTCTCATTATGCCACCTTCAGTTCTAAATGTTTAGGAACGTTTTTGGAATTTTACTTACAGGTGAAATGAGCCATTCAATACAGTGACATTCCCTTCAGGGGAGTCCTCCAGCTTTCTAATCACTTTACAGCTCTGTGCAGCACTTCTTTATATGGAAATCACAACCACAATCTTTCCTCTGAAGAGGAAATTCTGTAATTCAGCCGGAGTACCACTCTA